ACAGTGAAGAAGCTGCCGGCAGAGTTTAGACATTAAACCTGAGCCACTGAATTTACATTCTATCAGCATTATATACATATTACATACATCATCAGACTGTTTCTATTACATCTGAGTTCAGTTTCAAACTGTGACGTTCAGTTTCAACTCTGTTAGAATTCAATCCAACTCATTCAAACTCAAATAATTCAGATTTTTTAAAATCATAAATATTCAGATTCTAAAGATGAGAAACGTCTTGTTTTGTCCACAGACGCTCAGTTTTCTGTCGTAGAACCAGAAGAAGCTGCATCACACATTCAGTCTTTCTGTCCTATAAAGAAATAAGATCGTCAGATTATTGATGATTATTGGCAGCAGCTGATGGTTCATCTGGACGTGACCTCAGCGCTCTGAAGCTGCTCGATGTGTCGTCTGATCTAAACAGAAACTCTGGACCATCCTCCTCTGATGCTGCCACATCCAGGAGGTGTTGGTTATTCCTGGACTCAGAGGCTGGAGCTGAGAGCGCCCCCCGGAGGCCACACGGAGGAGCTGCTCCAGCTCACACCTCTGATCTTCAGAGAGCGTCTGCTGAAGAGACCAACGGAGGTCTGAGCTGAGATAACGATGGAAACGCAGGAAGCCGCCGTCCACCAGAGGAGGAGACGAGCTTCCTGAGCCTGTTGCCATGGATCCCTGGTAACCGTGGAGCCGTTAACCCTTCACTTCCTGTTTCTGATCAGCAGAGTAGCGGTTACATCACCTCCACCAGCAGCAGCAGCAGCTCTGACTGGAGATTACAGCACCAGTAAACAACGAGGCCGACGCAACCCACAAACAACAACAAACACGAGATCGTGTTCAACCAGCAAACCGTCCTGGAGACAGGAAGCAGCTTCTCCTCGTTAACAGGACGATAGAATTAAATAACAATAACAAGGAGTTCTCATCAAACACACAGGATTTAATGTTGATTACTGTGACCAGGAACATGAAGAGTTCCTTGTTGTTTAAAGTGTTTTATGTTTTATTACCACGATGATGAACAGGTTCTAAAGCCGGCCAATTAAAAAAAATAAAGTTGTTCAGGAGGTGACGAAGAATCAACTTATTAAGCTAATTTTATTAATTTAACTCAATTTACATTTAAAGCAACCTCAATATAAATAAACTTTATTCTAATTTATAGCAAACTTCTGTAATATAATCATATTTAAGCTGATTTAAACACAATAAAAATGTTTAAATTTAAGGCCAAACGCTGTAAAAGAGCAAAAATACTCTTATTAAAAATAAAGATTTGAATGTGGAGATTATTGACAGTTTTGTTTTACAGTTAATGTAAATTATTCAAATGTGATTTTACTGGATATTATTTTTAATTTAACAAACAATGAAAGTATATAAAATAAGTTAAAAATAAACTTTAAAAAAATAATTTTCAATTTCAATATTTTAAATAACAGTAAATATCCGTAAAACATTTATATTTTTACCCATTTAAACAGAAAATCTGTTTGAAAAGTGATTTTAAAACTGTTTAAAGACGTTTACTACTTCACAGTCTGGGTTTGGTTCTGAGCTTGTTGATGGAGTTCTGGGACAAACATCCTTCAACATGTGAAGACGCATCCATCCGGATCAGACCTTCCTGAGTCCAGCACCAGCAGCTCAGAGACGTGAAGACGACCGACCCGGAGTCACCTTCAGCTAAACCAGCGCTCCATCCTGAGCTCTGACGTCAGGGGGTCAGGAGTCCGGTTCTCCTCCGCCGACCTCCGGGTCGGTCAACAGGAGCAGCTGCTCTGATCCTGCTTCACATTCATGACGCTGCTTTATTCTGACACCGAGCAAACTCCTGATTCAGCGTTTATCTTACAGAACCGCGTCCTGCTTTCTGTCTGGTTCAGTGTAGAACTAACATCTGATAAATCTGGCAGCAAAGGTTCCAGAAAGCAAAGCTCAAAATCTGCAACATTAACAGCAGATATCGATAATAAACAGGATTTTTAGCAGCTTTAAGGGAAACGGTGTCATTTCACGTTTTTGCAGTCAGTATGTAAATTAATGCTTTTTTCTGGAACAAATCTGTAAAATAACAGATATATGTATATTTATTTTATCATAAAGGGAATATAAATATTTTTCCAGGTTTAAATACAGAATAAATAGTTTAA